TTACAGCCCACCCCAGGGCAGGCAGCTAGGTTCCCTGGCACAGTCCCCACCCCAGGACCAGAGTTCTAGGGCCTCCAATCGGTACCACCAACCTGTGAGAAGCCACCACCCTCACTCAGCACCGACTCACAGTTAATGAGAATGTCAATTCTGCCAAACTCCTTCAGAGCCTCGTCCACGGCAGCCATCACAGCTGGGGGTGCTCGGACGTCCATACAGAGAGGGAGGCAGCGCCGGCCGGTGGCCCCAGCCAGCTTCCTGGCGGCCTAGAAGCCCAGGTAAAGAGGCAGACAGCAGCCCTGCAGCCCCGGCCTGGAGAAAAGGCCTTTGGAGTCTGCAGAGGACAATGCGTCCGGGTTCCACTGGAACCCTGGGTTTGCTGCGGGGCCCCACTCTGGGGAAGCACAGCCTGCAAGTACCCACGGCCCTGGCAGATGTTTGTGGGGACCTGCCACACTCTCCCCGCACCGCCACCCGTCCTAGAATCCTCTCTCTGCATCGCCCTCCAGGCCACCGTCACCCATGTCCTGCCCCTGCCGCAGCCCAGTGGCACAGGTGAGACTCTCCTCACAGGTTGAGGGCTCCGGTAGGTGGGATGCACGGACCACCTAAATAACCCAGGTGAGCCCAGAGATCTTTCTTGGGGCCACCTTACCCCCAAACAGGAAGGTTCCTCCCAGGACCCAATAACTAGATTTTTAAAAAGTCAAAGAAGGCCGGGTGCGGTGGCTCAAGTAATCCCAGCACTTTGGGAGGCCAAGACGGGTGGATCATGAGGTCAGGAGATCGAGACCATCCTGGCTAACACGGTGAAACCCCGTCTCTACTAAAAATACAAAAATTAGCCAGGCGCAAAGGCGGGCACCTGTAGTCCCAGCTACTCGGGAGGCTGAGGCAGGAGAATGGCGTGAAACCAGGAGGCAGAGCTTGCAGTGAGCTGAGATCCGGCCACTGCACTCCAGCCTGGGCGACAGAGCGAGACTCCGTCTCAACAAAAAAAAAAAGTCAAAGATGTCTCTGGGTGGCCACTTACACTGAAGCTCCATATTTAGAAGTGCAAGTTTTGGTGCCGGCTGGGCACGGTGGCTCACGCCTGTGATCCCAGCACTTTGGGAGGCTGAGGTGGGCGGATCACCTGCGGTCAGGAGTTCGAGACCATGGTGGTCAACATGGTGAAACCCCATCTCTACCAAAAAAATACAAAATTTAGCCAGGTGTGGTGGCGGAAGTATGTAGTCCCAGCTACTCCAGAGGCTGAGGTAGGAGAATGGCGTGAACCTGGGCGGCAGAGGCTGCAGTGAGCCGAGATCGCACCACCACACTCCAGCCTGGGCGACAGAGCGAGACTCCCGTCTCAAAAACAAAAAAAATGTTGGTGCCAACATCCCCTTAGCCTCTGGACCCTCCTGGCCCAGGTCCAGCACCCCCACAGCCACCCGCACAGGGGACCACGGGAGAGGTCCTCTCACCATCAGCACTCGTGGCAGGCTCCTGCTGGCGATCACCGTGTGACAGCCGTGCCTACAAAACCAGAAGCAGGTGTGAGGACAGTGCAGGCGAGCTGCACTCCCAGGGGGCGTCTGCCCGGCTCCTGGGCAGGAGTCTCTGGGGCGGAAGTACCAGTCCAGGGCTGAAGGCCCAGCTGGCAGAGGGCACGGGGCGTGAACAGGACTGAACAACTCTGGAGGGACCTCAGGTGGTGCCCACCCTGGGGTTTCTGGCATGGGACATCCCACCGCACAGGCCTGCCAGCCCTGCCCCAAACACCAGGTACAGAGACTGCTGTGAGCCACAGAGGCCCAGCCCACACATCTGCCTGGGGCCTGCTGGGCCCACATCCTCCACCCTCTTCTCCCTGTGGGGCTGGCGTGGAAGACCGTTCTGAAGCGGGGTGCTCCCTGCTCCCCTTCCTGACCACATGGATGCAAATCCACCACGTTGGCCTCTAGGGACCCCGGTTCCAGGAAGGCCGCTATGATTTCCAATTTCCAGCTTATCTACTGTTCTTGCAGAAGAGCACAAAGATAAGTCCTGCCTTTAGGTCAAAACAATCTTGATGTTATCTTCAACAAATTCCTACACACTCCCTCTGAAGCAAGACCCTTTCCCTGTGGTACAGAAGCCCTGGGCCTGGGGGTAACAGCTTGGAGACACCTGTCTCACAGCCACCCACCTGTCCCACAGCCACCCACCTGTCCCGCAGCCACCCACCTGTCCCGCAGCCACCCACCTGTCCCGCAGCCACCCACCTGTCCCGCAGCCACCCACCTGTCTCGCAGCCACCCACCTGTCTCGCAGCCACCCGACTATGCTTCTGCCCGTAAATTCCCCAATAAAATCACCTCACAGGGACAAACGGGATCTGTCTGCCTTGTTCTTTGATTTCTCCGCTCTTCTGGTTTGGGAGTTGCTTCCCCACAACAGCCACAAAGGCGACTACCCCTGCTAGGCAGGCCCCACTGGAGCCGCAATGCCCCGTTCAGTCCTCAGCCACAAAGGCAGCTACCCTCCTGCTAGGCAGGCCCCACTGGAGCCACAATGTCCCATTCAGTCCTCAGCCACAAAGGCAGCTCCCCCTGCCAGGCAGGCCCCACTGGAGCTGCAATGTCCCGTTCGGTCCTCAGACGCCCCGAGCACAGAGCCACCAGTGGAAAGGCCAAAGCTCTTCCTGTGGATCTCACCTTTCTGGTCTGAAAAGCAGGAGCCTCAGGGGAACCGAAAAGGAGTCCCTCTCTCCCACCTCGGCCTAACTCTAGCCGCTGTCAGGTGGGATACGTTGCTGACCCCGGCCTGAAGCCACAGAATTGTGTCCCAAGAAAAAATGTGCCCTGCCGGACGCCAGCACTGGGACCTGACACAGCCCTGACTCTCGAGGTCCCAGCAGGCCCCAGACCAGAGCCACACAATCTCCATTGACCTGTAGGAGCCCCGAAGTCCTGACTCCCCCCAGGGCAATCCTCGACCCCCTCCCCAGTCCCTCTGGCAGGCACCTGGATCCTGTCAGGTGGATGAGCAGGGGACTTCTACCTCCCACCAGCATCTTTCCAGGGGTCCAGCATCCAGCAGGGCCCAGGCAGGGAGAAGCGGGGAGCAGGGAGGGGACACAAAGCAGTCTCACCGCATGAAAATCTCAGCAATCCGGAACCCAATCCCAGAGCCGCCGCCTGTGATGAAGGCCACTTTGTCCCTGAGAGTAAAAAAGGAGGCTCCGTTAGAAGAGCCCTGTTGGGCCAGGCCGGTGGCTCCCAGCACTTTGGAAGGCCAAGGTGGGCGGGCCACAAGGTCAGGAGTTCGAGACCAGCTTGGCCAATATGGTGAAACCCTGTCTCTACTAAAAATAGAAAAATTAGCCGGGCGTGCTAGTGGGTGCCTGTAGTCCCAGCTACTTGGGAGGCTGAGGCAGGAGAATCATTTGAACCCAGGAGGCAGAGGTTGCAGTGAGCGGAGATCACGCCACTGCACTCCAGCCTGGGCAAAAGAGCGAGACTCCGTCTCAAAAAATATATATAAATAAAATTAAATTAAGATAAGTAAAAAATAAAAGAGCCCTGTTAAAATACACCCCCCATATTGCTATATGGCAATGATTTAAAATGAAAATTCGGCCGGGCGCCATGGCTAACGCCTATAATCACAGCACTTTAGGAGGCCAAGGCGGGCGGATCACCTGAGGTCGGGAGTTTGAGACCAGCCTGACCAACGTGGAGAAACCCCGTCTCTACTAAAAATACAAAAAATTAGCCAGGCGTGCTGGCGCATGCCTGTAATCCCAGCTACTCGGGAGGCTGAGGCAGGAGAATCGCTTGAACCCGGGAGGCAGAGGTTGTGGTGAGCCGA